AATGTTTGCCTTCTTAAGGAAATAAATTGTTTTCAAGCATATCAGGAACACTAATTTGCATATAAACAATGCAAATCCTATATGGAGGAGAGAAGGTTTTTTTCTTACTTTACATTTATTATGAAGTGATAGAGTTGCATTCATTTGAAATATTCTATGCTTTTGAATATTTGGTTTCTTGAATGTTCACAATATTTGATTGTTCTTTGAATTAGCCTGAATTTTCTTACATTATTTCTTCATTCAATGGTTATGGCAGACAGGATTTTTTTTCCTCAGAAGGATTTGAGTAAATTCATCTTATATACCCATATGTTAGAGATGTTGGCTGAACTCCACCCCACTTCCAGTTACCTTGGATTGGCATAGGACTCCCAGCAAAGTTTTTAATAGTCTGTTGGAATTCAAAGCCCCGCCTATGTTTGTAACTCCCAATGTCTTATGGTCTTCCTGCAACTTTCTCTCCTATAACTTTGAATGTTTCCCTCCCTCATATCAGTCAGACTACATAGACTTCCACTAATAATTAACATTTTGCAAGTATCTTATTTATTTAGACTATTATCAAAGATTTGGACATCATTGAGCAATAACATCATGCACACAACAAAGCCTTTTTTCTGGTTCTACTCTCTCCATGCCTCCCCCCTGCTCCCACATCCTCTTTCTCTTCTCCCCTTTCTCTTCTCCCTACCCCCAATTCCCCTGCCCACCCATCCTTATTAGACTGTTCAGCAACATATTTGTGGAAAATGTCTGGGGACATAACCCCTCTTTTATCTAGTCTGGCCATATCATTGCCTATAAGCCATTGTCCACAATTTCATTTTTCATGTCACTGTAAACTTACTCCCTGGCTATCAGTCATCCCTGTCTTAGGCACAACAGTTTACTGGATATCACTTCCTGTATCTCGGGTATATCCTTGAAGTTTTGTTCTCTACTTCTAAGTGGCTGTTCAAAAAAAATTACTAATATATTTTAAATGTTGGGCCAGAGTTCAGGAAAGGATATCATAAGGAAGTATGCTTTCACTAAGCTGGATGTGTAAAGTTGGGCAAGTAAAGCATTGGGGGATGAGTTTCAGGCAGAAGGAAGAGACTCTGCAAACCATAAAAGCACGTGGGAGCAGGGCAAAACCTCAAGTAATTCTGTGATGGAGCTTAGAGTGCTTAAGGGTGTGTGACAAGTTCTGGCCATATCATTGCCTATAAGCCATGGTCCACAATATAATTTCTCATGTCACTGTAAACTTGTTCCCTGGCTATCAGAAATGAGACTTGATAATGGCTGAGGATGTTCTGCTTTGCTTTTTAATTGGTGTATCACAGTATAAATTTAGCATGGGACAAATGAATCAGTAGATTTTTCTCTAGTCACCACCTTCAGACATGCTTGGTCAGATGCTTTATCCACCCCCCCTCCCATACCGTGGTAATATTTCAAAAAAACTGAATACATTTCAGGTCATTTTTATTTTATTTTATTTTATTTTATTTTATTTATTTATTTATTTATTTATTTATTATTTTATTTATTTTATTTATTTTATTTTATTTATTTATTCTAATGTATAGACCCAGTTTTTCAGTAGTTATTGTAACCATTGGGTTTACTCAGATTTCTTAAATTTATTTTCAAGTACAGTTGACATTTAGTAGTATTTTATATTCATTTCATGAGTATAGCATAGTGGTCAGACATTTATATAATTTATGAAATGATCTCCCAATTTAGTACCCACATCGCACCATACATAGTTATTACTATATTATTGATTATATTCCCTATGCTGTACTTTACATTCCCCAAACTATTTTTTAATACAAATTTGTACTTCTAATTCCCTTCACTTTAAAAAAATGTCTGGTAATTTTTAATGGTGAGAAAAGCTTAGTTGTAGTACCGTGTTTCCCTGAAAATAAGACATCCTCCGAAAATAAGACCTACTTACAGGTTTCCTTCTGAGTGAAATATAAGGCATCCCCTGAAAATACGGGCCCCCCTAGGCTAACCATGAGAGATTTGGCCCACTGATTGTGAAAGAAATGGAGTCACAAGAAATTCACCAGGAAATTCAGGAATTGGATTGTTATGATGATGTTCCAGAAGATGATGACATGATTGTCATTGAATAAATGAGTAAATACTGTAGGATTCACAGTTTGTCTGGTTTGTATTGACAACTACTGTACTACCATACCACATACAGGTAATAAATTTCCTTTATTTTCATTTAACAATAAATGTGTACCATGTTCTTCTTCATGGAAAAATAAGACATCCCCTGAAAATAAGACCTAGTGCATTTTTGGGAGCAAAAATTAATATAAGACACTGTCTTATTTTCGGGGAAACAGGGTATTTAACACTCCTTTTTAGGTATTAAGAAGTTCTTACCAATCTACACAAGACTACTATCTGATACACAGTTTATAGCATCTCCTCTCCCTGAACTTTCTAAGTCAATGGAGGAAGAAGTGACTAGTAAAAATAGAAGCTTTTTCATTTAACTGGTCCTGCAATTTGATTCTCATTTGGGTTGGAGTCCTGAAATGCAATACATGTTCTGCAAGGCCTTCACATCCCTCTGTATGGCAGGAGCCCTTTGGGCTAGAGATCACAAAGTTAGACATGAGAACTTTTTACAGTTCTCTGACATGGAAACCTCTTTTCGAAGGTGGAGGTGGAGGTACCCATCCAAATTGTTCTAGGGTTTTCTCACTGCACTCCAGGACCCCGAGAAAAGTCCCTCATAATTTTGTTACTTTTTTTTTTTTTAAGTGAAACAGAGGGTATGTTTTCCAGATATGTGTTGAAAATAAGGGAGAGTTAGAGGCTGGGTAGAACTGGGCAAAGGTGGGGGAAATGGGGACATCTGTAATAGTGTCAACAATAAAAATGAATCTAAAAAAAGAAAAAGAAAATAAAGTGAGCTCAATGAGTGTACATGGTATGTGTACAATTAAATGGAAATTATCTCTTCAACTCAAATCAAATTTAAAGCACTCTGAAAATAAAGACTATTTTCACCAAAGATGAAAACTATATAATAATTTTTTTTCCTATGCTTTTCTTTAATTTCTATTTAAAGAAATTTCTAAAAATACATGAATTACGCAGCTTATCCTTCAGATGAAAAAGAAGTTTCTTCTTGGTTTGGGTGGCTCCATATTAATAGCATTAAAATTTTCCATGTTCTTTTGTGTCAAATAGGATACAAATTATAATATGAAGGAGGCTTTCCAGCAATATCAGAAATGGATGAATAATTATGAAAGCTACTTGGAATTGAAAGCATTTTAATTTGTTATTACTTCAATGTGTTCAGAAAGGACCTGGATAGTTTTATTGATCATAAAAAGGAAGGGTGTGATGTTCTTTCTCATTATGAAATTAAGTTCTTAATAGGACACTTGTACTGGAAGTTAAATAAACAACTCTCTTCTGGTTTCCTCTAAAGATGTCATTATGACTGAAGACTTCTCAGCCACGGATGTTGGTCTTCTTATTATTACATGGGGGTACTGCACTTCAAACTCATTTTAATCTGAAAAAATATTTATCTTTTCAGGTTATAAAAATGAGATCATACTTGTTTGTCTAGTGAGAACTTTCCAACTTTATGTCACATGAATTCATGTGGCAACGACTATAGAATTCTTATAGGTCATGGTAGCAGGAACTGATTATGAGATTCTAAAATAGGAAGTTTTGTTGTGATTACTAGGGTCATTCTGAGGCAAACTTTCAAAGCTAATTAAAAAATAATGTCTCTGTTTTCTTTTGGTCTACATTATACCAGTAATATCCAAATTCTTATTTGCCCCTTAAGAATATTTTATTAAGACCTACTCTATTCAGCATGTGTGTTTTTTATGTTTTGGAAAATAACATTTTAAGACATGCCATGTGCTTCCATGTTAGTGATAGAATTTTTCTTTGTCACTTATGAATTTTCATTTAGCAGCTTTACACTAAGATATTTAGATCTTAGTGATGAGGGAGGCATGTCTACACAAGGATTCTGATCTGCTTAAGAACATTTGCACCCTCCCTCCCCAGAATATTGCTTTAGGGTTAATAGTTAACTATTACAACATACTGTTTGGCAGTCTTGATGCAACCAGAGGATACCTCCAATATAATGAGGGAAACCCTACACATATGTCAACAAGCTCTTTGCCTTCTGATTCTGATCTTTCCCAGAGTTCTTATCCCTTAATAGTCCTATGACCTTGTGCCATTAACATAGTCAGTTTAAATCTCACTGTTTTCACCTTTAAAATGGGGAGAAATAATATCCATATAAAAGGCAGTGTGGGGATTAAATTAACATGTAAAATAAATGGGAGATTCTTGACATATGGTAGGCATGCAATCAATGGTAGTATCTGTTTACCATAAAGCAAAACAAAGCTAACAAACATTTAAAAATTAGTTATCTATTTGATTTATATCAATACTTCTTGACAATAAAACCAGAAATATTTTTCTATTTACCTAACAGAGAAAATTCTTGATGAATAGAGAATGAAGTTTATAATAATTTAAAATCTAAATGCTACTAAGTTGCTCTCTCCTCCCTTCAAGAGGTTTCTATAAATAGCAATACCTGAAATTTACAGATGGGTATATGAAATATGTCATAAATAAACTCTAAATTATTATTTTCATTTTAACTACTTTCAGAATGAAGTTAGTGTCTGGATTGACATTACAAAGATATATATTTTTTTCTACACACATGGAGATGACATTAGTAATTGAGTTATTATGTATACAGATTATTTAGAACTTAAAGGATTTATATAAATTCAGCTTTATTTTTAATTTGATGGATAAAGTGACGTGGGGGTAGGAGATAGAAAGAAAGGGAGGGAGAAAGGAAATAAGAGAAAGAGAAGGAGGGAGAAAAAGAGGGAGGGAGAAAGAGAGAGAAGAGAGAGAAATATGTAATTAAGAAAGAAGGTAAGACTATGTTCTCTTCTGTTTTATAGCCTGAAGAATAAATAGTGAAAACATCAATCAAGATGAGAAAAAATATCAGGATTTCTCTGCCATGGAGAATTGCTTATCAACCACCAGAGGAGAAATCTTTCTTGAACAATGAACATTTCTTATGAAGATTCACAGATTAACATGTGACTATTCTCAGTTTTGGAAAGTAAATGAGCTTTATTTATTTATTTATTTTTAATTCTGTGGTAAGTTGTGATGTTTGGATGGATTTTTCAATTCTTTTTGGATAATATATTTAGCACATGTTCTAAATTATAATCCTATACCAAACAGTGAGAGCATCATTTAAACTTAAAGACAATGGAAAAATGTAAATCTCCAGTTTATTCTAGATTTCTTTAACATATAAAATTATTCTATTAAATCCTGGATGATTGTTATGTAAAGCACCTCTATCAAGAAAGAAACACTATTTTTTCATCATGTGGAACATGACTGTGGCAACATGCCCTCAACGGGAAGGAATCACTGGTCCTTCTCATCTCACCTTACAAAGTGTGAACCAGCCTTGCATCTGAACAGCGAGAATGAGGAAGGTAAACAAAAGAAAAATCATCATCTCTGTTTTCTGATCACTAAAAAAAAAAAAAAAAAAAAAAAAAGTTTCTCAAGGTTAAGCCAAATCCTCTTTACAAGCTGCCAAAATAATAGCTTAGGAAAAGAATTAGTTTGCCTGCATGATGATCCTCTTAGGCAAAAAATGTCTTCACAGCAGTTGACCTTGATGAAATGTTTTCCCAAAGGCATCCAAAAGAAGAATTATAAATCCCAGGACAGGAGAGAAGTAAATGAATATTTCTTATGAAGTTGGCCTGACTTATGGGCTTCGATGTGGGGTACTGTGATTTGGAAATAAGTGGGCGAATTCTGAAAAATGACAGCCTCGGATATAATGAGGTCCCCTATTCCTCTGTTTCTCACTGAAGTGCTCTCACTGAGCCAAGATTCCATCACTTTGGGAAAAACACCGGTGGCCAGTATAACAGACTGGAACCCTGTTACTCTGCTGGGGAACAGAGTGTCTCTGAGTGCAAATCACAAGGCTCATTCTCCAGGTTCCATCTTCTCTATCAGACTGGATTTGGTGACCTGCAGGCTGGCTGCAAAGGCTTTTAGCTTTTACTCCTGAAGCTTCTCAATGCTCTGGCCGGAGCTGCCCTTTGTATGTTATGACCACAGGCAATTGATCTGCTGGTGTCAGGTTTTCTGTCGCCTATTGTTTTTCCACAGAGAGCCAAGGCGGTTACAACTCAGTGAGCAATAAATGAAATGACTTAAAAACTGCACAGTGTCCTTATTTGAGATTTGGCACCATTTCTTGGAGGAGGACCCACTCCGGAGGGACCAAGGTGGCCAGTGTCCATGACTACAGAAAGAGCAGCCACCCCAGCCACAGCTGCCCTGTTGGAAGGAAGGAATTTTTGATGGGGGAATCTTCATTTTGCTGTTTTGGAAAGCACACAACCAAACTGCAAACCTCCTATGATGACTTCTGTTCAAATGTGTAAAATGAGGCTTTATTTGTCAACTCTGCTGTAACATAAGCAACTGTCCAAGTAAAAAAAAAAAGAAAAGTGTCTTTGTTTCTCTTTGTGTTTAGTGAGTGAGCTCATGCCCTCAGGTGTTTTTGTTTTTGTTTTTAATAACCCAATATACTGCAGACGAGTCTCTGAACACAGATCTCCTTTGCTTTACAGTGAGTCTCCGCCAACCTTGATAGATCAGCTTCCAGATATAATAACCTGATTATTTCAGAATCCCTCATCTAAGTGCCATTGCTCCTTGGCAACCTGTCAAATGAAAGTGAATACCCTGCCAGAGATGAGACTTTGTTTGTTTTCAAATCTCCTTCCTTATTTTTGCCTGTACAGAGAAGGGAAGTTACCATTCCAGCGAACCGTGGAGGTGACATGCTCAGTTTTAAAGAGGAAGAGCCTGAGAATATTATTTATATTTTGGGCCCTCTTAAATGGAAACGCCCCTGCTTGGGAAGCTAGCTGTTTGTTGTCATTATTGTCCTTTTATCTTGTTGTGGTGGTTATATTTGTTTCATTAGGCCGTGTCTTGCATTCCACTTTCACTATGAATGAATGGGAGTGAGAGGTAAATGTTTTCAAAGAGCCAAATTAAAGCTGGCGCAGAGAGAGCGCCTTGCGGACCTGACCCTGTGGAGCTTCTCTGGCAGGGCCGACGGGTTATAGCAGAGATTCCAGGAGAGACAAAGACAGGTCCAAGGATTTCCTGTAAAAACTCAATGCAGGAGAACTAGAGGTGAACCCAAATGTTCAATATTTAAAGTTCCAGAGTACATGTAAGAATGGCAACTAAACTGACCCACTACTGCGCATTCAAAATGAACCTAACGCACAAGCCTAATGGCATTCTTATAGTAGAGTAAAAATTTTTGTGTTTAAAGAAACCCTTGCTAAGTGGTTGAAATAGCCTATGTCTTCTTACAGAGATAATATACTCCTACAGACCTGGTCATGCAATTCACTTAACTTTCTAACGAGTTCTCCTTCAAGCACAGAGGTGAGCTTCGGGTTAGCACTGATGCCAGTGGCCACACAGGCCATGGCTGTGAAACCCAAATTAATGAGTTTTCTTTATATGTAGTCCTCACAGCCAAGTGCACTAATAAATGTGATCATAAAGCAATCTGCTAAGTGGAGAGGACTGCAGTAATCCCTCCTGCGGATCAAAGTGGCAATAAAACCCTCATCTGCGATTGCTTGACTACAAAGACCAATAAGATTTGTTTTTTTGTCTGCCTCTTACATGACATATAGACATAAATTGGAACTGCAAGAGTCTTTATACCTTTCTATTCAAGTGACTTTATTAGACCAATCAGACTAAGAGAAGAAAAATATGAAATAGATGAAAAAATGCAAATACTCCCATAGGGAAATTTGAGCCCTGGGGATTGAGGGAGGGCACACCTCCTGCAAAGCTGATCTTTTAAGTAAGGTATTTTTGGCAGGCCACTGTGAGCACAGCATATTAGAACATTTCTAAATTGTCGGGAAATAAAATAACCAACCTCTCTACATTCCATCCACACTAAATATGCATTGCTTGTTTAACCAGCTTGTACAAAAAAAAAAAAAAAAAAAAGATTGTTGTTCTTTTGTGACCAGAATTGTTGTTCTTTTGTGAGAACAGATATCTTTTTCTGCTTCTTACCTAATTTATTCATACTAAAGTCATGCTAAACTACCTCATAGGTATGTGGTGTGGATGAGCTAAGTAATAAATGTCAAGTGCTATGAAAATGCTGTCTTTGTTTTCCAGTTGAAGATATGCATGTCAAATTAACTCCCTGAATATTTCATTGTAATATCCATGTTGATCAATTGGTTTTTAAGTTTAATATGCAAATATCTTAAGGTCAAATGAAATCCTGAGCATGGATTGAGAGGATCAAACCCAAGTGTAGTTTCTAAGGGAAAAAAAAGTACCCTGAGGCAAAATGTTTTCTTAAGCAGATATTAAAGGAGGTATCCTAAAAGGTGTGTCTGTTGGGAGTGTATAAATTTGCATTGTAACAGTTAAAATGTCAAAAATTGGCTTTTGTGATTTATATTTGAAATCAATTAGAGTGGGTTTAAGAATATATATATATATATATATACACACACACACACACACACACACACATATATATATATATATATATATATATATATATATATTCTAAATACCTTCAAGAGAAGTTTTACAGATGACTATCTACCTTGATTTTGCCTTGATTTGTGTCTTCCTATAATGATGTTGAACACTGTTGTGTGTGTGTGTTTTTAAGATATAGCTGAAGGAGAAAATAATTAATGTCTAATAGTTCTTAGTAATGGCATATGAAGGCTCTATAATATCTAGCTAAAAAATAATTTTATTGCTGGCTCTACTTCTCTGTCATTTCCCCCCATATGATTAATTATTCCTTAGTCACTGTTCTGAACTGCATTTTTATTTGCTGATTTCGAATACCTCAACTTAATTAGCAATTTATTCTGACCTTTAAAATTCGCATTCCATAATCTTCAAATTATATGACTGAAGGGAAAAAGATCTAATTTTGCCTGCCCCTTCTCCTTCAGCTATCATTAACAGGTTACAGTCAAACTATTGTCATGTGTCAAACTTTCACCTCAACTGTGGTTGTTTCAAGTCTAGGCTCAAGTTCCCTCATTCCATAGATGGTCAGTAGGATTAGCAAAGACTGACTTACCTTCTGAAGGTTTGAGTAATGTACAATGTAGTATATTTGGCTGATAAATTTATGCCAAAAAAAAGTGAAATTGTTATACACAATATTGAATCCCCTCTTTTATTCTTGCTATTTTTGAGAACTCTCAGCACATTTTCTACTTGAATTGTTACCCTTCAAATGATTAAAAGTTCTGAGTGTAAGACCACAAATGATGAGCAAGAAGTTTCCTTATGGTGGCAACTTGGTGACCATATGTTCTACTTTGAAAGCAATATCTTAGTGTATGTGCTCATATTTCTTGAAATTGTCTTCAGATGGTGGAGTATTAATCTGTACATAACAGCATTAGTGCTAATGATTTTGGTACTAAGAATCCAAAGAGTTGCCATGTTGGATCAACCCCATGTCCCATTAGTTCGCTACTCTGGCAGTATGTAGTCTCCAAGAAACTCAGAATAGGAGGATGTGATTAGCCTCCCCAAATATTAGTGCCAAGAAAATTATTAATGTTGCATATGTGTAAGACAGGTAATAGAGGTGTTTTTCTTTCTTGTCAAAAATATGATCTCTTTGGTTGAGTTTGATAATAATGGGATAAAGGGAGGTCACCTTGCAAGGAAGAGAATCCAGAGCAGCTCTTTTTCTATCCAGAACTGTCTGAGCATCAGGGAGATACCTGCAGAGAAGAGACAGCCCCTGCCCTCTACATATCCACACTGGGTTTAGAAGCATTAATAACTAGCTTAAAATTCCCCTTCTTTCTTCTTTTTAAGTAATTCTT